GGGATATCGTGCTCCTGGATGGCGGGGCATGGGTGGCGTACTCCTGGGCGGCGATACAAGCGGCTGGATGCATTTGGCCGTCGATTGTTCCCTTGAACGGAGGCTGACGGCGGGTCATGGGGAGGCGGCGGCGGCAGGGGAGTGCAGCGGCAGGCGGATGGATCTTTGGAGGTGGGGGAATTGCGGCTAGGGTTGGATAAAATAGTAGGAGCTTATGGTTTTATAGATATAACCTAAAGAGTATATTTGTCCACCTATATTATTTATTTAATAAATTATTACGAATTTAATTAAATATTAGTATTATTTTAGTAAAAAAAAACTAGTTAAGTCATAGATTGAGAAAATGAAGAAGTTTTAGTTATACCTAAGATAATTATCTCTTTAATTTGGTCTAGTGTGATGATGAATGTCTGATTTGTGTGTATTTTATGAGTGTCCAAGTCTTGTCTGGTCTGATCTTGCAAATTGTCTGATCTGGTCTGGTCTGGTTTAGCACTGAAAACAATCAAAGTAAAAATATCCTAAATGGGGAGGGTGGATTGACAGGAGGAAAGAAAAGAGGGAAAAAAAAGAAAAAAGGTTTTCAACCTCTGGCTGGTTGTGTGCAGGAGAGGAATTCGCTGGGGTGACGTCACCCACCACTACAACGACCAGTTTAAAAAAAGAAATAATTACATAAATATGACCAAAATAAAGATTGTTTATAAAAATATGACTAGTTACTAGAGTAGTAATGAAATCATAGTAATTCATGTTCAAGTTTTGAACTTAAGTTACCACAACACTACGTTGTAGTAATGAATAGTCATATTTATGTAAATAAGTTTTATTTTAATAATATTCTTATGAAAAATTCTTAAAAAACGTTTTGTTAGATCCGTTCGACCGGGGGATCCAACAGCTGAAGTTGAAATCCAACAGTTGAAATAATTCATTTTATTTTTTCACTATTTTTAATTTATATTTAGTTCGAAAATCCTATATAAACACCTCGTTTCTTCCTATTTTAACACACATCTCTCATCTATCTCATTCTTCTGCATATTTTGTTTACTGTTTAATTTTTTATGACTTCCCCAAGAAGGGGTGTTGAATTGAGAAGAATGAAAACTTGTATGTTGTCGTCTTGTCGATCTACTATTGCTGCAAACCCTAAATTGATTTCAAGGATTTGACTTTCATATACTCCCTCCGTCCCGAAAACAACTTCCCGGTTGGACTTTCACACACTTTTAGGAAATAAATTTGACTTTACTGTAGAGTGCACTGTTTAGCACTATTTAAACACTGTTTGACACTGTTTAAACATTGTTTGGCACTGTGTAAACACTGTTTGGCACTGTTTTAACACTGTTTGGCATTGTTTATCACTTTTTTGATGTAGATAATTTGCCAAATAAGAAATGTATTGAAGTGTGAAGTTAATTTTGGGACATCCATTTAAGGAAAGTGGGAAGTTGTTTTTGGGACGGAGGGAGTAATAATCTAGTACGTTATTTTAATGATTAATTTAATTATTGTTCAATTATTAAATAAAGTTAAACTAGTGACTTTTTAAAACGGAGAAACTGAGAAAGAATAAAACTTCTCTCACAGAATTCATTATTTCGTCGTTTTTAGTTCTTCAACTCGAAGACTTTTTTGTATTCGACTTTGAATTTTTTCATTGTTATCTCTTCAACTATTTTGAGACACTTTTGGTCATGTTTCACAAAAGTGACATTTTTAGTCTTTTACTCCGAGTACTAACATAGTAGTGACATTTTAGTCTTCCACTTATTGTGGCAAAATCATAGCGAAAGGATTAAAAATGTCAATTTGATAATACTAAGGGGACTAAACGTGGGGAACTTTGAAGTCGAAGAGTAAAAATGTCTCTCGCATATTAGTCGAAGGAATAAAATTAAAGAAATGAAAGTCGAGTACCAAAAATGTCACTGACACAATAATTAGGGAACTAAAAGTGATAAAAACTCATTCTAAAGTATAGATTGCAAAGGTTAAAATCCATTGATCTTGTTTGTTTACTTTGTTACTCCCTCTATTTCAGATTACAACTCTCAATTACATTCAAGTATTGGTATTCAACGATTAAATAACTTAGTTTTGATTTCAAGTAGATATTAGTATATTACTAGTATAATCTACTGGGATCAGATACAAATTTAAATTTAAGGGAAAACGCATTTTTAGTCCTTGAAATAGTCACAAGATTGAAATATCAGATCCGTATTTTCGAATTTATAAATGTCACCCCTCAATTGTCCAAATTGGTGTAAAGGTGGTCCTTTGAGCGGTGAAATGTATAAAGTGGGTGAAAAGTACATTTCACCCCTCAAATTAAGGACCACAATCAGGAATTTGGACAATTCAGTGGTGACATTTACAATCTTTAAAATACGAGGGTGAGGTTCTAATATGGTGACTATTTCAAGGATTAAAAGTGTCATTTTCTCTTAAATTTAACATGGTCGATAGAACTTTAAATGCATTTTCGAAATATATTTCATACCTAAATACAAATGCATTCCAGCCCGGCTAGTTGTGAGGTTACTGTGCCTAGTGGGAGGTCTTAAGTTCGAAACCCGCTAGGCACATAAGGGTTTGAAACTCAATGTAGTGAATTTCAGTCATGTTTACTCTAGCCTAGGGATGGACCCGGGCCGGGCCGGTTCCGGTTCCGGGCCGGGCCCGGGCGGGCTTTTTTTCGGGTGACATGGGCCCGGAACCGGCCCGGGTTGATACCGGGTCCGGGCCTAACCGGGCCGGGCCGGGCCGGGCCCGGTTCAATGTTTTTTTTTTTTTTTACTTTCTTGTTATCTCCCTACCCCCCCCCCTCACCCCCATGCCCCAAACCTCCCTAAAACACCCAGCCCTACCCTAGGAAAAGAAAAAAAATTGAAAAAACCAAAAAAAAAAAAAAAATGAACCGGGCCCGGCCCGAACCGCCCGGGCCGGTTCAACAAAAATAGGGCCCGGAACCGGCCCGCCCGACCCGCCAACACGGGCTAAAAGCCCGGAACCGGCCAACCGGGCCCGGTCCGGTCCGGGCCCGCACAGTAGCGGGCCGGTCCGGTTCCGGGCCGGTTCGGCCCGGCCCAGTCCATCCCTACTCTAGCCCCCCAGGCCTCTCCCTCTGGAGTAAAAAAAACAATATGATCTAAGGGTGGTAGATGTATCAATCATGCAGAATTCCATTAAACATAGTGACATTTTGTTAAATCAATAATTTTTTTATCAACGCAAAAACTGCATCACTTTGAAGTTGAACATGCATCATTAATCATTTTTTAAGGAATGCATCATTAATCATTAATACCAGTAGATGATAAAAGTTTATCCATTCGATTTTTGTACCGGGAACACATTTTATTAAACCGCATCTTATGCTACATTTATATATACACATATGTATATTTACACAGTTTGTAACCAATAAATGTATTATGGAATATACAAATGCCAATACACTCATATTACTAGTCTTTTACCCGTGCGTTGCACGGTATTGCAAACCGAGTGAGTTTATTCAAAATTATCAAGTTTGTTTGCAAATGATATCAAGGATGATATCTCTAAAAGTAGAATAACGGGTCAAATGTATAAATGGTACCTTAAGTATTGATATTGTTAAATTTTGATACCTTAACTCTTAAATGAATCAAATCAGTACCTTAACTTTCCCTTCATGTTTCAATTAACAACTTAAAATTAAAATTCATAGGGATGACATGGACAAAAGTAAGGTGAAATGAACTTTACACATAGAATTCCGGCCGCCACATATAAATTTTTGGCTGAAAATTTGAAATGTATTGTCGATTGAAACAATTATGTTTTAATTATGGTACTGATTCAATTATTGTTCCCGTCATTCTAAAAATCACATAAACTAAACTACGAAGTATTTACCAACGGCCAATAAATGTATCTCTGAAAATGTAAATCAAGATGGATGAATTCTCATAAAAAAAACTAGGGCCGAAACCTCTCCAAAAATGTTTCTTTTTTAAGAAGGTAAAGAAATTACATGAAAACACGCATACCAAAATGCATGGAAACGTAAACGAAAAAGCGAGCAAATGTAAAATGCAGAATTCTGCAGTAAATAAAGTTCATAAGAGAGAAAGAACAGGATTAGGCTGGTGGATAAACAACTTTGAAATCAGTTTTATATCCCAATGAAGCCACGAGAGAAGCAACTTTGTTCACAGTAGGCTGACATAAAGATAATTTGATGTTCCCCCTTTGAAAAGATTCCAAAATACTTGCTATAAGTTGAGAAAATTCATTTGATTGCCTGGAGGAGGGCAACAATTTAAAAATAGGAGAGGAGTCAATTTCCTAGCAGAAATTGTTTAGACCCATCGAGTTTGCCCAGTTGACAATGGATTGTATACTAAGAGGCTTCCTGTGAACATATGTCAGATCTGAATGTTTAAAGAAGATGAGGAAAGTCGGGTTACCCAAGTTGTAATACAGTAATGACACCCCCAGAGTTATATGAAGTGTGCACGTTCATTTTGTTTCCAGAAACTGGTTTATTCCAGATGGAGATGGTAGGGGATTTTCTCCAATTAGGAATCAGATTTATTTGATATAAGGTAAGGTCGTGTTTAGCAACCTTGCTATCCATTAAACCGGTGGACCACGCAAGCATGTGCTGAGATATGGCATGAATAATTGAATCTGCAGTGGGTATGGGTGTATCACCCCAAGTATTGCCCGCATATACCTTCCAAATAAACCATGCATTTACTCCAGGTAGTATGAATTTGAACAGGCTTTCAATGTTGAGATTGTTTGCTTCTATCCACAAGAAAAAGAATCTGCTTGAGAGAACAACAGTATGATGGTTTCGTAATTCTGAAGTAACCCATAAAGTAGAGCCAAATTTGATACCGTTAAATGCCCATCTGCGTTAAATGCCGTTAATCCTCTTAAAAAGTAAGGTCATTTGTTTATTCAGGTTAAAACATACTGGTATTTGTTTCTTATGATGGAAGACATAATTATGATAAAACTATTTTGCTGTTTTCCATAAATAGTCAGGTATATCACGAAATGGACTAATCCTCAAACTATTCATACAGAGATTCAGAGACCAAATAATGCACAAGAGTTCATTTATATTTTATAGAAAGAGTGTCAATCTACAACATCACTGCTGAACAGCTTGAACTTATTGGCATCATGGATCAACTTCCTTATAGACGAGAATGAGCCGAGGAGCCCCACGCCTGTAAAGACTATAATGATTGACGTGTTAATCCAATAGGTTAGGGATGAGTTAGAAGGCTTGAAAGTCATGTTGTACAGCAACATTGGGAGAATGAAATCGAGTGGGATGAAACCAATTGCTCCAACTACACCATTGATATCACCAAAGAAGGGTAACATTGCAGCTAGAAAGCCACATAGTATCATGTAGAGCGAGCGGAGAATTATCCTGGGAATAAGGTTTCTCCAAGAGAACATCCCTTTGTGCACATCTGCTGATTTTGTTTCCATGATTTCATATGCCACTTGAGAATAGACCTGATTCATATAATTTCATATTTGAAACTTGGATAGCCATTTTTTAGGCTCCCTCCGTCCCGGAAAAAGTCGTGTTTCAAAAACACTCTTGTCTGTAAATGATATCTACTCAAATAAAAGTATGAAACAACAAAATCGTGTAGCTTTCCAAAAAAGAAGTAAAAATGATGATAAAATTATTTCAAACCCAACAAATATTTTGAAAAATATAACTATGATTTCATCTTTTAACATATGTAACTTGCCAAAATAAAATATATATTCCTTACCCAAAAATGTTTTTTTTTGTGAGAGAGAAGGTACTAAGTTTGTAAATAAATGTCTCTTATAATTGCTAGAGTAAATGAGAAAACGTTTATGAATCAAATGCTGTAACAGTCGCTGCTGAGAATGCGGGGAAAGCTCGGGCTCAGGCCATGAAACAGTGACACTACCTTGATAGGCCAAGCCCATTAATCTCACATTTGAATACATTTGCAACATAAATAACTTGTGAAATGTGGATATAGGATTTGGCTGGAATGTAAATGGATATGATGATTGACATACCAAACCAATGGCGAGGAGTTGAAGAAGAACAAATATGACACCTAGACCCAAAACCCATGTTGGAGCCAATTGAGGTCCTTCATCTGGGAGTAAGCTCTTGAGGATGTTTGAACTGGATTTGTTTCCAAATACCCAATATCCAGAAACAGCAGCAGAGTAGAAGGTGACTAGTATCACAGAGTAACACATTGCCAGCCCTTTCACCATCTTTCCTGTAGCTGGTGGTGCAAGAGTTGCCTGTATTTGAGTAGCAAAATCTTATAAGGATAAATGTCTCGGAGAATTGCCATATATAGGACTAAGAAGGATTATTATCTATTTTCACTCTTTGTTAGGACTCAATGATTCATATTTTAAGCATAAAACAATACTCTTATTTATGCATATGACCTGTCTTTTACTCCTTACTGTAGTTCATTTTAATGCTTCTCAGGCCAAAGGTAAATCACACACAAAATAAGAAGAAAATAATGACAGTCAAACAGTATCTCATGTAGTCAGATTCAGTTTTGAAGAAGTGGTGAACCTGTATTTCAGGTAGTATCCCATTTCCAAAAATGGCAGCTACAATGGATATGGAAGAGAAAGCACTGAACATTCGTGACATACTCGAAGATTCTAGCGAGTAATCTCTTGTTGGTGCATTTTTTGACGTACCTGCATAAAACTCGAAATACTAGACATATACTTACAAAATGCTTGGATAACTTAATGCATGTGTTCTGCTCTAACAATTGCTCCATTGTTTTAATATATCAAAGAACATGAACATAATAGGCAAGTATAGAGGAACTACCAGCATAAATGCAAGCACCAACAACAAGAAAAGTGTAGCCCAAGCTCAGAAGTAGTGAAACCAGGTTGATGTGCCTTAGAGAGTGGAAGGATGGAAACTGAGAGAGAACTATCTGGATACCTGTTACTATTGCTATGAAGTCGTACAATTTCAATGACCCATGTGGAGAAAGGTTTGAATACAGGATCTTGTAGCACCAGAAAAAGAGCAAAAAAAGAGGATTTAATGTCGTTATAGTTACAGAATAATGACGATACACACTTTTTCCTTTTCCTGATTTTCATTATGTTTCCAAACTAGTTTAAATACACCTAATTTACATTAAAACTATTTACATGGAAAGTATTCAGATTCAAAATAGTTAGAGAGCAAAAGGTACATGATGTTTCTTTTTCTACCTTGATTATCCTATTTCAATGCATAATCTGAATGAAGGGCTAGTTTAGTACTAAAAACTTATTCTCAAATAACTTTTCAATTACTGCAAAAGCTGCCTCCTAAGTTCTATGTTTGGTCATAGAGATTCAACCTCAAATTCCAGATGGGAAAATTCCTAAAACAGGAGTACAAATATTTGAAAATTCCAAAATAGGACTGCAATGTTTTTATTCCCTAAATAGAGGTAATTACTACCGAGTTTGGAAAATACCGTCATGTTTAATTCTAGTACTGCCAAAACATGACAGTAATTACTCTTATTTTGGGAATAAAAACATAGCAGTTCTATTTTATAATACCCAAACATTTTCACTCCTATTTAGGGCAATTTCTCATTCAAAATACAGCATAAGAAAAGAATATAGATTCTTCATCAGTAATCAATATCTTTACAGGAAACTGACTCCGACAAAATTTTATGAATATAGGCAACTTTCCTAAACTCCAATTTGAAGAATTGAAAAACCTATTGTTGATGACCAATATAAGCAGGACCATGAAATGAGGTTATAAATCTGAACTATGAATTTCTTTTCATGTTACTTGATATTCTCATCATCTAGAGATGCATTCCCATATTTCTTTCCTTATTCTCTCTCCTTCAATTTCTGCTTAGTTTAAGTGAGAAATGAAATGCTAATCCTTCTTCGAATGCAGAAGGATCACGAATCTCTGATTAAATATGCAAATAAAATGCACAGTTTAATATACTAATTCGATATTTTAGGATAAATTTCAATCCTTTTACTCCCTCGGTCCCATTTTGGTTGTCCTACTTTCGTTTTTGGGTTGTCCCAAAATGAATGTCATGTTTCCTTTTTTGGCAAGAAATATGTGGTTCTTATCGTTTCACTTTATTCTACTCAAATCTTAACCACAACTTTTAATTTCAACCATTAAAGTAATAATTGTGCCAAATTAAAGGAGGACAATCAATATGTGACGGAGGTAGTACTATATTCAGTGCGAACCCATTTTTGCTAGAAAAAATGTCATTGCTGGAGGAACTAGAATACATACTAATGTAGGAGTAGACATACTCTTGGGAGAAAATGGAAAAAGTAATGCAGGTCTATTACTAGAAACTTCTCAATTACTCCATTACTAGGAAATGGACGTAGTTAATAACCTAAACTATGTATACCTGGATGCATTCGCCAGCAAGCAAAATTGATCCAATGCTAATTCCTGTATTTATAGCTGTTTGAATGAATATCACAAAATAAAACATCCATCCTGAACCTGTAAGAAAACCTATCAAAGGTCAATCAAACTATCTCTTATAGGCCAAGTCCAGAGCAACTAGCAGCCATTGGATGGAAGTTACGAACCTAATATGTCTGCAGCGAGCTCGCGGAATCGGATATGGCGGCGTCCCGACTTCTCACAGTGGTCAAGCACGAGAGACATGAGGTAGTAGGCGTAGAAAGTGACTAGCCCCATGACGGTGAGGCAGAAGAATCCAAGGCCCCAACCGAGTCCGCGGAAGACGTAAGGAAGAGTCAGTATGGTGGGACCCACTATCGCCGTCGTAAGATGAAACCCGGCGTGCCACCATTCCCCTGTTCTCCAAACGATTATTAATCCAGGAAGGAAATGGGCGAAAGCGGAAACGGAGATGTGTATTGAGGAATCGAAGTGAAAATTACTTATTAACGGGTCGAATTCGAGCTTCAGTACCTTTCGATTCGAGCACGAAAGCCGCTCCGGCGTCGTTCTCGCGGAGCTCCTCATGGAACGGGTGGTTTCGAGAAGGTTCCGCCATTAGCGTACTCTGCAAATCAGTATCTCTGCGTCGAAATTTAATTATATGCGCGTCTGAATTATTTGATAAAAAACGAGAAGAAGAAGAAGAAAACGTATCCGCGCCGAGGCGTTGTGGGTAAGAGTCTACCGAGAGGTTAATGGCGTGAGGGGAGGAAGTGCCGTTTTGACATTCCTCCCCATCTTAATCTTCAGAGACGATGACGCCATGGCCAATCAGTACGTCATTGTTATTTATTGTTTATAGAAAAGCACGGATGGCAGATATAATGGTGAGGCCAGCTTTTGTCAGTTAGTAATAAGAAGGCGAAGAAGAAGATGGGAATTAATGCAAAAAGAAAGTCAAACCCTGGCGTGTACATAAACGGCAAACTTGGCTTACAGAACTATCCAACTTCAGCAGCACTGTGAGGTTGGGTTGAGCAAATAATGGTTCATATCAACAAACCAAACGGAACCCGCTGAAACCGCAAAGCTTGACTGAACTGCTTTAATTCGCGTAGACCATATCCTCACCTTTTACTTATGATGATGATGTTTTTACTTGACTTCCAAATCAGACCAGACTCAAACGTATCATATGAACCCGTTTGGTAGCACGAAAATCGACTGATTTTGATGAAATTTATAAAGTTCTAGATGAAGTGGCTGCATTGGCTGATTAATAAAATAAAGAAAAAATTTATATGTAAAAATAGGTAAAATGGTCATCTTCAGCCAATACAGTCAGGAAAGTAACTCTAACCTTACTTTTTCTGCTTATTACACAATTCAGCGCGCGAAAGCAAGAGTTACGTGTTTGGTGAAAAAGTTGACTGATAAGCCTGATAAGCCGAAAAACAATGTTGTCAAACATCATCTACATCTCACCAAACTTAAATGAATTAGATCAGATCAAATTTTGACAGTTGTAAATTACACATATCTTGACATCTATCAGACTAGACCAGACATACTCAAATCATATCAAACCAAAATTCTTATAATTGAAATATAATATTTTACTTTTAAATTTTACTTTTATACTCCCTCCCTCCCGCTATTAACTTCCTGCTTTCCTTTTTGGGACGTCCCAAAATTATCTTCTCATTTCCCTAAATGGAAAGTTTTCCTACATCAAAACAGTGTCAAGTAGTGCAAAACAGTGTCAAACAGTGCCAAACAGTATCTAAACAGTAAAGTCAAATTTAATTCCTAAAAATGTGTGAGGGTCAAAGTAAGAACTTAAAAACGGGACGGAGGGAGTATTATATTCATATCAAAAATGCTTTTTTTTCAAAATTATTATTGAAAAAGAATTTATTTATAAAAATGACTATGAGTATCACGATCACATTAATGTTAAATTAAACATTAGTTAGACTCACAAAAGTTACTTCTATAGTTACTACATTTAATGTCACATTTTTATAAAGGATATCTATTTTGCTTCAAAAACATTGGTTCTTTTGCTCTTTCTCTTCTACCGGCGGGAAAAATAAATAAAATATCCCAAACTTTGAATGGGTGTGAGATAAACACTCCAAACTTTCATATATAATTTAAATACCACAAACTTTATAAGAAATGTTATTTTAACACCATGATCATGTATTATTTCTTTCAAAAAATATAAATTTAAGGTGTTAATTGCATAATTTAAATATAGCAAATTGAAAACGTTGCAATTATATAGAGTAGGGGGTAATACTATTTATTTTACCATTGAAGTTTAGAATGTTAATTGTATCGTCATGAGTGCTAAAATGTTTTAAATTATGAAATTAACACAAAAAATTAACATTTTTGAAAGAAATAATACATGACCATGGTGCTAAAATAACTTTTTCTATAAAGTTTGGGGTATTTAAATTACATATGCAAATTTGGGGTGCTTACCTCACACCTCTTCAAAATTTGGGATATTTTTAATTATTTTTCCCTCTACCGGCTTTGAAACTCTTGACTTGGTATTTTGAAATATTTTACTAAACTTTATTTAATAAATGTATATATTTGTGAATAGCTTTTATTTTAATTATAAGTATGTAACTATATTCCAAAATGAAACACAAATTATTTATGTGGTCACGCTTAATTTTATTCAGGGCACGTTATTTCGTTGTTTTATATGTATTAGGGAGTGTTTGCATTTGATTAAAAAAAGTGCTTTTCAGCTTTTGGCTTAAAAAAAGTTAAAAAGAGTGTTTTCAAACGACAGCTTCTACTTAAATTAATCACTTAAAAGCTAAAAGCTGGAAGCAGGTGGAAGGGTGCTTTAAACTGCTTTTCACTTTTTCTATTACACAAAAAGTACTTCTTTTACCAAACACTACCAACTTTTACTTTTTCAGAATCACTTTTTCTTCAAACACTATCAACTTTTACTATTAATCACTTTTCCCAAAATCACTTTAAAAAATCACTTCTTTAAAGTTGAAGCAATTGCAAACACTCCCTTAGACTTTTATTGTTGTCGAAGTAAGTTTCTATCAGTTGAGCTTCACAAATAGTACCTCCATCTCGCTAAGAACTTCCTACTTTGACCTACAGACATATTTAGGAAATAAATTTGACTTTACTATAAAGTACACTGTTTCCACACTGTTTGGCACCACTATTTTGGACTGTTTGACACTGTTTTAATGTAGGATAACTTTCCATTTAGGGAAATGAGAAGATCATTTTGGGACGGCTAAAAAAGGAAAGCAGGAAGATGTTAGCGGGACGGAGGGAGCATGTAAGTTTCCATAGAATTTCCAATTCAGATTTTTTATTATTAGGAAAACGTTAATTAAATTGTCACTCAAGCATCATATATTACAATTCTTTGTGATGGAGGTGTACAAGCCACCGGAACAAGTCCAACAAGCATACAAGTTCAAAAAGCTAGTCAGCCATCTCTCAGCTAACGTCTCTGTTCAGACGAAATTAGATTTGGAGCAACGCCATTTTCTCACGGTGATCCCTCGTCTGGAATCTGGACAAGGACACACGTCCTAGCTCAGCACATGCCCCTCTCATACGCTGTCGAGTTTCATCCATGGACTAACAACAAGCTTACACGTACACGTGCATAAAATGTACTTAACATTTATTATTAGTATAAATAGCATCATTTTGGACAGATGTAATTAACGATCTACATATCGCATTAATATATTTCAGCTAGTGGTCTTCCGGCAAAGTTGTGATATATATCAAGTGACATGAGCATATCGGACATATACATATTTACACTATGTTGGGTGAAATAGCACACACATCTTGACAAGAAAAAGGTCCAAATATTCATATAATTTTTATTAAGTTGTATTCATATTCGTACTTAGAAAATGTAATTGATTATAGAAATTTGACTTTAGCATATAATTTGGAGAGATACTATGTAGAATTGTACAAACGTGAGTAGATGTACGATGTTATGTTGATGGCGAATATCGAAGGAATATACAGGAAGCTTTGGAGAAGAATATATAATTAAAGAGCCGTGCTTAGTGTACACGTTTTTTGTGTACACTTTTGTCACACTTGTTTGTCTAAGTAGACACATGGAGTGTTTGCAACTGCTTCTGCTTAAAAAAAGCACTTTTAGAGTGGTTGGGAAAAAGTGATAAGTAGTAATAGTTGATAGTGTTTGAGAAAAAAATGATTTTGAAAAGTAAAAGTTGGTAGTGTTTGGTAAAATAAGTGTTTTTTGTATAATAGAAAAGGGAAAAACATTTTTCACACGCAAGCCGAGAAAAAGTAAAAATTGATAGTATTTGGTAAATAAGTGTTTTTTAAGCCAAAAGTTGATAAATAAGTTGGTAAATAAGTATTTGCTTTTTTTAAGCTATTGTAAACACTCCCACAGTAGTCTGTATACAGGTTGTACCTATACACAAAGAATGTGTAGACCAAAACATTTTCATATATAAACGCAGCAAGGAGATTGAATATGAGAAAAGGGTCAAATAAGGTCTTCTACTATTATGAAATCGTCACATACGGCCATTACTCAATAAAGTGTCATATAAATACGTTTACTTGTAAAAAACAATCGAATGAGTCCTAATGAACCGTTGACAACCTATTAATCCTGATTTTAGCTTACTTGTCAATTTAATTGACTTGTGTTTTGACCAATCTTAGGTAAATATTCGATGTGTGGCATATAATCTATTATAAAAAGATGGTTTCAAGAACACTAAAATCGGGATTATGAGGTTGTAAACAGGTCGTTAGGACTTACTTGATTGTTTTTTACAAGTAGACGCATTTATATGACACTTTATTGAGTACATGACCTTATGTGACGATTTCATAATAGTAGAAAGCCTTATCTGACCCTTTTCTCATTGAATATTGATAGTTTTAGAGCTTTTGGTAACTTTGCAATTGGTTGATTAAAATAGCCGATATGAATATATTTAAAATATATTTTATTATTAAAATAAAACAAAATTATATTAAAAACAGCCAAAATAGCCCCTTACAAAAACCTCACCCAATTAAGCCAGGAAAGTAACTTCACTCTAATTCATTTTGATTATTACACAATGCAACGCACAAAATTGACAAATTCTATTGGGACGGAGGTAATTGTATAAACAATTTTGCTCTTTGTACATGCTTGTTATGCACACTTTATATACACTACACGCGCACACACATACCCCTTCTCTCCCTTTCTTTCTCTCCTATGATTTTCCCTTCTCCATTCTTTATTTTTCTTCCATTTTCATCACCTTCATCTTCATCACATTCATTTTTTACACCTTTCATTTTCGACTGTTGTTCATTTCCGATTTGGTTTTCTGGCGACCTTCCATCTCCGACGAATCTAAAAATGAAAGATGAAGTAGGAAAGATGAAAAATGGTGAAGACCAAAATGATAAAGATGGGAGATGATGAAGATTAGGGGCGGATCCATGATTTCATGTTGGGGTGGGCTGAAACACTTATAATGATAATACATTAAAAATAAATAAACAAAAAAGCAAATACAAGATTTTTCCTCTAAATTTGTTCTCGATGAGGCTTTGAAACAAAAAAACTCGTCAATAATAGACTATACATCTATATTAAGAGTAAGATGTTTTTCAATATAACGTATCATGCAATCGGCAAGAAGGTTATCATCCATTTTATTGTCAAGTGTTGCTTTAGAAGTTTCATGGCAAAAAATGATCGTTCTAGTGTTGCACTAGAAATAGTAAGATTAATACAAAGCGAATCAATCTGTTCATCATAACATATGAATAAGATCTTCTGCTCATAGTCAACTCCTCACATAATTCACTTGAAACTTTGTATCATGAATCACATCATGAACATAGTAATGCAGCTCGAATTTCAAAGCATGAATATCCCGACTACAAAATCTTGGGATAGATAGAACTCCTTGCAAGAGTACAAATAACATCGACATTGAACGACACATGAATTTTTGGGATCCAATGAAGCAATCAAAGAAAGGAGTTCCACTGATTTATCATTAAATCAGGTCTTTAACTCCATCAATATAAACTCTATTGCCTTATTGAAAATATCAAAGTGATAATGATGCTCAACTGTAGTTTCTTATTGGCAATGACTAACCATATATTTATAATGTGTTTTGAATAAAACTCATTTACTTTATCAAGAAAACATTCTCATCCATTTTATGTCAATTCCCCGAGAATAAGTTGTGTAGTAGAAACGTATCTCATGACTACCAAGATATTCAATAATTCTTTTTGAAGGCCTTGACAGAGAATAATACTTGTTATTACATAATTTGTGCATCAAAAGTAAATTGAACACAAATTCAAAATAGAGAAAGTGTCTATATACATCAAGAACTTCTGTCTGAGAACTCACTTTTGGGCAATGTATTTGAAGACACTCAAGCACTTTACAAGTTGTTGTGAACATGCCAATCAAGTTCTCAATTGAATCACATTTTATTGTATTTATTACATTTATGCCTTATGGGTTTTATGGACCTTATACGTATATACTAAGTGTCACTTATTAAGTGTGAGGTGATGTATATACATTTATATTAGATTTTTAGATGGTTAGATTTTGTTTTATGGGCTAGGCTGAAAAATTGGATTGGGCTATAGAAAACATTGGAGTGGACTGGATGGAATTTTTTAAAAAATAATACCTTAGAAAAATAATTATTTTTTACTTTGCCCTAGGCTTCAGCCCACCATAGCCCTAACCTAGATCCTCCCCTGAATTGAAGATGATTGAAGATGACACAAGATGATGAAAATGGAAGATGTGGAAAATGAATGTAATGAAGATGAAGGTGATGCAAATGGATGAAAAAGGAAAGAAGAAGAATAGAGAATGGGGAAGGAGAAATCGTAGGAGAGCGAGAAAGGGGAGAAGGGGGTAATTTTTTTCATATATATATATATATATAGGGGTAAGATCCCATGCAAACCAAGCTTCCGGTGCTAACCTACAAACCAACAATAGCCGCTGGATTAAATCATGCGGACGGTTAATGCATGTGAGATGCATTATTGAAACGCTGCACTCAACCATATGAGATAAATACGGATAACACCCTTTAATATCATTTGATCAATTAAGGTGATGTACTGTAGCAACATGCGTTCTTTTATTTAGGAAGGTTTGAGATATAAATCTTTGGTTTTTACTCGCACCTCTCATTTAATTAATTAACCATCAATTATTAACATCCCATTTTTGAATGATGAATTCTAAATAAAGAAGAAAGGTATTGCTTCATAATTAACCTTCCATTTTTTAATAATAAAAAGGTAACTTGGAGAGGATTAAATTGCAAAAGTTAATTTATATAATAAAACATAACATAATAAATTATCCATTTTTAAAACTTAAATATGGTAGGATGGAGAACTATTGATTGCATAAGTGAATAGTTCAACATAAATTAATTGAATCACAACGTATTTACTTGAAGTGCATAATAAGGCTATGTGATATGCATTTTAAGGATGGAGAGCTATTGATTGCATCTTATCGTTATGACATTTGAATTTTTAGCTCACATGTTGCATTTTATTATTATGACATGTGCATTTTGGAAGTTCGTATATTGCACTTTAGTAAGATGCATAGCTTATATTAACTTCTAACATATTAAATTTGTAAGAAGTGAACACATGTGAACGTGTCTGCATATTAAAGTTACAGGACATGCATCATAAGATTAATGGATGTGCATATTATGGTTACGAGATATGCATTATATATTTATACTATCTTCATAACTTATATTAGAACTATATAGTCATAAACATGTCAACGCTGCATTATAGTGGTTCATATCTTGCATTTTATCATTATAACATGTGCATTTTAGAAGTTTGTTTATTGCACTCTATTAGAAAGTTATGTGCACTTTAAAAGTTCATACTGCATCTTAACGCTATGGAATCTGCATTTTAGGAATTCATATGTTGAAATTTATTATCATTATGACTTGTGCATTTTAGAAGTAGTATATTGAATTTTGTCAGATGAGCTCCCATTTTCACTTTAGAAGTTACTGCATCTTATCACTATGACATTTGCATTCTACAGTCAACTGACATGCATACTAAATTCATGATGTTACATAATGCATAATACATGATCCACATAAGAACATCATACCTATTCCAGGCAGATTAAGCTAGTAGCACTTAAACATTTTTTATTTTGTATAAATATGAATTTGATGAATTTCATGAAGGCGAAAATCAAAACGTTAAAATATGATTAATCTCATAAAAAACAAAAAACAAAGATTTTCTAAAGTGCAAAATTTCATGGGGACGAAGGAGTAGGAGATGGAGATCAAATAAATTAAAAAATGAATTCACGAAACTAGGGTTTAATATCGGAATCCATGGTCTACCCTGTTAATGGTGGTGAAGAAATTACAGCGAAAGCAAATTTGTATGATGAAGAAGAAACAAAATTCTGAGATGAGAATGAACTAAAGCTTCATTGCCGAAGAAAGAAGAAAAGAAAATACAGAGTAACAATGAAGAAGCAGTTATGGAAAGCGACGGCAGTTCTGGAAAGAAAACATGTTTATTTTCCAAAATTAAAACCAACTAAAAAGACTTAAGGACCCCTCAATTGATTAAGTTAAACAACCGCTCCATTGATATTGAACGCACGTAAGATTCAATGAGATGGATGGCAAGGATTAGGTTTGTAGGTTAGCATGTTAAGATGGGTTTGCATTTGATCTCTACTCTATATATATATATATAGAGGAAACTTCATGTCAGGCCGGCCTGACGGGCTGCCCCGTCCGGCCGAGCCCGTTTGGGCACCTTCCCGGTGGAATTTTTTGATGAAATTTTTTGAGCATGTTCCTCATCAAGTCTAGTTTGCCCATACCAAATTTCAGCTCAAAATTCGATCGGGAAGGTCGTCAAATGATTTTTTCAAGTTAACTGGTCCGGAATATGTATTTTCCAGACCAGTTAACTTGCAAAAATCATTTGACGACCTTCCCGATCGAATTTTGAGCTGAAATTTGGTATGGACAAACTAGACTTGATGAGGAACATGCTCAAAAAATTTCATCAAAAAATTCCACCGGGAAGGTGCCCAAACGGGCTCGTCCGGACGGGGCAGCCCGTCAGGCCGGCCTGATGAGAAGAGCCCTCTATATATATATATATATATATATATATATATATATATATATATATATATATATATATAGTGTGTGTGTGAGGTGTGTACAAGAAACAAAATTGTAGTCTGTGTATAGACATAAAGTGGTGGCTGGTGTTCAGGGGGGCATTCGAACATTTTAGGGAAAAGTACATAAAACGTATCTGTGGTTTGGGCCATTTTTAGATAGGGGCATGTGTTTCATTTTCTAACAAAGTGAGGCATGTGTTTCAACTCCGTTATCATAGCAGGGGCATGGCCTCTAACGCCGTTAGAAAAATTAACCTCGATTTTAATAAGTCTCCGAAAAATTAAAAGAAAAATACCGGGAGGTGCGACTCATCAAGGAGATCAACAAATTATCTTTATTTTTTTGTTTCCAGCCACCATATCTCCAGAAAGTCCACCAGAAAATTGATATTAGTGTATTTGTTTTTAAAAAATAATCCAAATAGAGCCGAAAAATCCAAAGAGAAAGATAGTTTGTTGATCTCCTTGACGAGGCGCACCTCCCAGTATTTTTCTTTTAATTTTTCGGAGCCTTTTTAAAATCGGAGTTAATTTTTCTAACGGCGTTAGACGCCGTGCCCCTGCTATGATAACGGAATTGAAACACATGCCCCACTTTGTCAGAAAATGAAACACATGCCCCTATCTGAAAATGGCCCAAACCACAGGTACGTTTTCTGTACTTTTCCCAACATTTTATATTAACTTCAATACAATGCAATGCTTATTGCGTTTATATGCCAAAGCATTACCAATAGAAAACAGTGGAATAAAAACGGTCATGTTTCAGCAAACCAAAATGCATTTTAATGTTATTTCTCAGAATCAGAATATCAGAGTAGTTCAAGGGTGATACAATAAACAAACGAACGTATAAAACTATAAATCATTAGAAAAGAACTATCTATAAAAGAATAAATAAGTGTGATTAATTACAAATAACAAGTGTTTAAAAAAATCTATAAGATGCACCTCAGTCGTCAAACATGGCGTGGGATGGCCGAATGGGCTAATTTCAGTTATTAGAACGCAAAACCATTCATGAAAGGGGTCAAAATGTAATACACTAAAAGTCAACAAGTCCATCAGCGCCCCGGCCACGGAGAACCATCTCCATCATCAAATCGTTCCATGAATCTATTGGTCCTGGCAAACACCAATGAAGACAATCATTAATACCAGGCCCACTCTTGCCTCCTGCAAATGGTTGGAAGAATCTGTATGGGCCAGGGTGGCCATCACGCCTGAGCAACGAAAGCGGGCTCACATCAAAAAGTTTGAGCTTCACTCCCTTCTCACTGCCATCACCCACCAGCTTCTCAAACTCTTGTAACTCCACACGGCGGAGAATTTTGTGGGTCTCACTTCGCTCAAGCTCGCCTTCCTTAGCCGGTTCGGTTCGTTTGCAGTTTCCTCCAGTATGCCACTCACCATTCTCGAAATGATCTGATGTGGAAGTCCTAAATAAAATCATGCCTTTGTGCTGCTTTTTTGAAGATGACAAGATGAAGCTGAAAACATTTCTTAGAACTTCTCTGTATGCGAACTCGAACCCAAGCTGTGTTAAGTTCCGTTTGGGGCAGTTGTGGCAACCCAATAATGTTTTACCCTTAAAATATACTGTTGACTTGACAAACCATTTTCCACTTGAGAATATCACATAGTCAAAAGTATGGAAATGTTGACTCCACTTCTTGTCAAGCTTGTCGAGATGAAGCTCGACCTCAGATGTGGAAACCCCATTGAAGTCCTCAAATATGTCTGCTTCTGCTAGGAAAGGAGACCAAATGACAGAAATTGTGAAATTGGACTCGGAGAAGAACCATCTTCTGGATCTGAATTCCTCATCATGGTACACTTCAACAGGTTGCTCCACCTAAAAAATGCTTCATTACAGTACTGGGGTATAAAAAAATGGTCCGATGTTGTTAGAACCGCAAACCATAGCTGGCCTAGGCCATGACTTGGCGGCAACTAGGTGTCCAGACAGTAAAATACTATCCCCATAGCTGGTCGCCTTGCCTGAAGAGTGCCAAACATTCAATGACATCTCTTAGGCGTTAACTATGCATTCATAGGGAGCCGGGGGGTTGAGTTCTAGCCCAAATTTGCATTTTCTTTATTACTTTTCTTCTTTCTTGTTCATCATTTTAGTTTCTTTATTAATCTAGTTACTTTTTTCTCTGTGCCATTTTTTCCCATTTCTGAAAACATCAGTCACATAAATCACATTATTCCTTTTTTTTATATTTTTATTGTTTCATTGAGAAAGGAAATATACATTAGACTCTCATTTTTAAGTTAATATAATAAATTACTAAAGATGTTTTTAGTCAGACTGATTTCAGTCTCAGACCAAACCAGGTCATACATTGTAAAGTACACATAAAATAGACATCTACACACAAAAAATTCACTCCAATTGAAAACATCCTAATTGATGTATTATATTTACTTGTCGCCTAATTATCGCCTAAGGAGTCACCTAGTCATCTAGGCAACAAGGCAGTTCACTGAGACGCCTCGCAAAACCGCCGTGACAACCTTGCCACTAACTTTACCTTAATTTCACATTAGTATGCCACTATGTTGTGATCTGATCTAAGGTGAGTTGGCCTCATACTCAAGGATTCAATTTGAAACGAGTTGACACGACATCAAATGTTAACATTGCCTCAGTTTGTAATACTGGCACATGAATAGATGTAAGGTAAACAGTGCTCATAGAAGCGCTGGCTGTTGGTTTGGGAATACTGCTTTAAGCCATGTTTAGATGGAGCATGTTGAAGAGGTTTGGAATGAAACTTTTGAAAGGCTTACTCAATTGTATTGATATATATATTTAAGGTTTTCTTAGAATGAAAAAAAACATATAACATTTTTATCACCTTTTATTCGTTTTAGAGATATTCTATTTATCAAGAATCCAAGATATAGACTAGATGAGGTGTGGCCGTGTGGGGGGTGAAATTAAAGAAAATCATGGTTGACTAAAGGAAGTATAGCGCCTAAGTCTGGGACCTGGGCAACGATTTCTAGTGTAGTGCAGTTAACAACTTAACACTCATTTAAAAGTAAGACAAGTTTTGAAGCCAAATACAGCTTATACCTTTGAAAGCATGCAAAGAATTGATTGAACATGGTTCCTGGAAATTGAATCGCCAATCAGTGCCCAAGTTTTACCCCTCATTAGCTCAAGAAACTTCTTTGCGTTAAACCGGGGTAGGCTACAATCACGCGGCTTCCATCTCCAGTAAAGATAGTTAGTATCTGGTCGACCATTCTTCATACAATTTTGATGGGCCTCAATGAAATTGCATGTCTCGTTTGTGTAGTACGGACCATCTGGATTATGAATCCAATCTCCGGTAAAAAGGTCACACACCTGTGCATTCCCTATATAGATATCAAAGAGAGCATTGTCAGTGACTCGGTATGTATATCTAATTATCTATTAAACATTGTACCAGGAAAAATCATTGATGAGCGATTCTCATTAAAAAAGTCCCCAGAATAAACAAATTCTTTTAAGAACAAAAGCAAGTACTAAAATGTGGAAGAATACATATGTATTGAGTCAAACAAGCAAATAGATAACAACTAGAATTCTTCATTTTGAGAAAATTCCTTAAATAGATAAAGTGTACAAATGGGATTAACATTGTTTTCTTCCCAAAATAAGATTCGCTTACTCGTAATTGAAGAAGTTTTATTCTTGTACAAAAAAATGTGCACTTTGTCTTTGTTTTAGTTCTATTAGCAGCCATTTTATGTGCAATTTCCTGCTATTTGACCTTGCATAGGAAAATACAGTTTTGCCTATCTAATCCAACAACAGGATATAAAAAAAGAAAGCAAACCCTGCCATTCAACACCAAATCGCATTTCCCTTCATCGCCATCATAATCATCATATACATCCATCACAACAAAAAGTAATATGGAGCATTTCTGAAAACAAAAAGCAAAGCAGCATTTGAATAAGAAATACCTTGAGGGAAATCCAGATCAACAGCTTGAGGTAAAAGGAGACGAAGTGGCCGCGTTGATGCCAGAGCGTCATCGAGAAAGTGAGATCCGCTCTCAACAATCCGACTAATGGTTCCAGAAAAGAGTGCCGTCATATAAACAAAACTCACCGCTACCAGAACAGAGAGACCTAACTTCAAACCCAGCAAACTCTCCTTGTTCACACACCTCTGCCGACGCTTCCCATGTACTACCATTTCCCCAAATCTCCCTCACTCTGCTCAGAAACAGAAGCAGCTATTCGTGGACAGAAATTCGATGAAATCCAATCATATGTGATGATGAAGTTGATAACATTGTTTAGAAGTACACATCTTGCTGAAATCTATGTCGAAAGCCCAAAAGGATTGTCTTGTCTGCAACGAGACCCGTTTGAGCTTTGAAGTAAAGTCTTGGCGGAAATTTAAAAAGCATATAGATCAAATGGACTGATAAATTTCAGGGGTAATTAATTAATTATCCCCACCATATTTGGAAACTAATATGCGCGGTTTGTCCCCAGTCTCCCTAGCAACATTACTATTCCCTGATACTTTTGGATAAATTTTCAACATTAAGAGATTCCCTATGATCGCATTAATGACATCACAGATTCACAGGTCCAAGACCGATCGGACCGGAACCGGTTGAAACGAAGACCGGACCTAAATAATTTTCCAAGATCGGATTGGACTAGAAAAAACGGTCAAAAAAACGTGTATAATACGTATACGTGTATAATACGTTTTCTATTACAAAAAATCGGACGAAAAATACGGGTATTATTTTGAACATTTAAATGATATATTTCATAAAATAACATATATAGTAAAAAAGAAATAAAAGTATACACATATTCAAGTAGCAAATCTCATTACTACATACAAGAATAGTTCGTAATTGCATAAGTCGATGACAAAAACAAAAACAGTAATTAAGTCCAAGTAGGGGTGGGCATGGGTCGGGACGGTTCGGGATTAGGGTTATCCCGGTCCCGTCCCAATTAATAATAATGGGACGGTACGGTACGGGACAAGCCTTTGTCCTAGTCTTGTCCCATTTAAATCGGGACCGGGATGATTCGGAACAGTTCGGGATGGTTCGGGACGTCCCAAACTAACAAAAAATAATCATTTGTAACTAATATATATTAGCATTTCTAAAATATCATGCACCAAAATATTAACATTTTAAAAGTTAATTGATGTTCATCACAAGCTAAAAGCTACTACGTATTAGATTTTAGTTAGGTTTAGCAAAATTTGAAATTTAAATTTAAAACAAAGCAAAAATGAATTAGTTTATTCAAAATCATGTGTTCTAGTTGTGAGATACTCATATGTAGATATATATATATATAGTGAGGTAAAACCCTATGTTATTAGTAAATATTTATGTTAGGTATTATTTTTAATTTAAAATTGGGCTTGAAAAATTAAAAACATGTTATCATTTATTTTTTGAGTAGACATTACAAACTAGTCACATGCTACAAATCTATATAGTTATTACAAACGGGACAACGGGACGGTTCGGGATAACCTTCCAATGTCCCGGTCCCGTCCCGTTTTAAACCGGTACAGGACCGGTGCGGGACAAAATCAATGAGACCCAAACGGAACGGGACAACACCGGTACGGTTTCGGGATATACCGGAATGGGACAACGGGGCCGGGATTCTTGCCCGCCCCTAAGTCCAAGACATAATTTTGAAAAATAATGTCAAAAATCATTATCTTTATATGATTATCAAATAACACTCAAGTTAAACTCATCATTTTCATTAAGATGACAGATGACATATGACAAAAGTTGTGTGATTGCTACACTTATTATTGTTTGTGTAAAAGTTTATGCTAAAAAACGGTATGTTTAGAAAATCTTAATTTTGATATGCTAGCTTGAAAAAACATCAGAAATCTTGTAGTATATTACTACGTAAGTTTTAGTATTTCAGGATGCTGGCTTTAGTCATCATGCAATTAATTTTAGTATTTAATATAATTGCACTGTAACAATACAAAAACACAAGATCATGGGGAGGACGTTTTCATTTTTACTTTTACACTATTGTTGATCTTCTATGCATTTAGTGCATTCATTCAATTGGTCAATTCATGTTTATGTTTTTTGTAAAATACGGGAAAAATACGTTTTATATGGGAAGTAGGAGTTTTTTCCCTTTTTAAACGGACCGACATTTCTCCCCTTTTTAAACGTGTGTTTTTGGTCAAAAAAACGGTACGTGTTTAAAACGCGTTTAAAACGGAAAAAAGCTAACTAGGGATTATTTCGATTTTGCTCAGATCGAAAATAAATAATAAAAGTACCACCAACTCTTAGCGGAAGGATAAGTGAAACACTGAAACCCACTCCATTGAAGCTGATTATTCAAAAAACAGTTAAAGAATTAAGAGCATCATTAATGTCACACGAGGCATGAAAGAGATAGACACATAAATATTACTTCATATATCCCTAATTTATCCTTAAGTACAATTGACACATAGATTAAGATAGTAGGTATTATTGATAGGGAGTTGTCCATATGAAAGAGAAATGTGTAAGAATTACTGTGAACCACAAATTCATTGCCAAAAAGCGAAAGAGAAGATAATTTTGGGACAAACGAAAAAGGAAAGTGTGAAGATAATATAGGGACGGGGGTAGCAATAAGTAATATATTCCTCACCTTATTTGAGATGTTTATATGTTTTTAGTAAGTTGTATCCACGATGTCAATTAAGATGGACACCTAAATGTAAAAATTGTGGTTGACGTTCTTGTGAAAAATAATCAAAATTATATAAAATCACATCGTTGCATTTAAGATGCTCTAAACAATCTTCACTTTTTCTTTAATTAAGAAAAACGAAAGGACTAAAGATATGTGACTTCAGGGGTACAAAGAAGAGTGACAGGATATGAATTTTATGCAATAAAAGGTTGGAAATAAAAGGGTGTAGAGATTCATGATAATGAAGTTAGAGGAATGGGGTTGAAAGAAAGGTTCCCAGGAGAAACATGAGAGAGGAGAGATGAGAGATAAATAAGAAATTGAGCGTCAAAAAATATCGTCACATAAAAATTAAATGAGTGCCCGCTAATTAGTGACAAAAAATGTTAGGCTCGGTTCACTAATTTTTTTTCTTCTTTTCATTGTTATGTTCCTATTTTATTGCCAAATGCCTCCTATTATATCAAGGAAAGTTCTTGTATACCAAAAATAATTTATTAGCAAACCATGAGCCTATTTGATAATTAACTCCTATTTTCAGTTCATTGGACATTTCATATAATACATAAGTTTTGATTTTATGTGATGAATCGTGTGATTAAATTCCAAATAAGGAATTTTATCAATCCGGGATCCGAACGATACACGAATTATTAATCCGGAACCTGAAAGATGAAATGTATCAATATAGGACCCGAATGATGGAAAACTATCAATCTAGGACCTAACATTTCATATGTTTTGATTTAATTAATTTTTTATTAATTCCATTACGAATATTTGATTAAATTTTCTTCACAAAAGTTTATTAGTTAAAAAAACTAAATAATATTTAATTTTTTTAAAATAAGAAGAATTAATAAAATCTATGAAAAGTTAGGTCCTATATTTATATAGTTTTCAATCATTCGAGTCCTAGATTGACAGTTTTCCACCTTTCGGGTCTTATATCGATACATTTCATCTTTCGCCCGAAAAAAGCACTTCCTTGAAGCCTATCGTTTCAGGCCCTTGATTGATAAAATTCCAAATAAATATTGTTGGAATTACTTTTTTGGCTAAATTGACTGAAATTATTATAGACATTCATGTTAGTTGTTTCATATGACATTTTCTTTAATTTATTATAAAACATATTTCAAATTTAATTTCTATAATTAAAAAAAAAATCAGTCAATTCAACCAAATTTAGTGCTACCAAACGGACCCTACATAATGACTCTCGAGCCAATAACTTTTTTTTTGCAAGGTTATTTTCAAGTTATATGACCAACATCTTTAGAGAATTTTCAAAAATATAATTAAAATAAAACTTATTTACAAAAACGTAACATAACTAAAAGTTACTGTAGTATATATGATGTCATACACCACTTAAGCGCAAGTTATACCATATGATCATTATACCATGCATATGGTATACTGTTAGTACGTAATATGGTGTCGTTCTTTAACTAAAACCCCATCAAATAGATCTTCTTTTCTGACCATCTATTCTTCTTTTTCGTCAATATCTCTATTAATCTTTTCCGCTTTTTCATCAAACATGATTTTTTCCTTTTCATCTTCAATCATCTCATTCTCCTTCATCAAAATATTAAGAATCTAACCACAACTGTGTTTGTCTTCATCTTCAAAATTCTGAATTTTTTTCTTTTATTCTTCAATTATTTTTCTCTCCTTTACGAATATAGTAATAACCTAGCTAAAATTGTGTTCTTCTTCATCTTGAAAATAAATCTAGGTTTTTTCTTTCTCCATCAATTGAAAACTGATGTTTTATTAATCTAAAATAAAAACTTGTATTTGTATTTGAAGATTAGTAATAATTTTTGTAGCTACATATCATATATTTACACAGCTTACACTTTGACTTGCCTCATGTTACATTTCCATCTAATTTGATTTACATTTTGATTTGCATCAAGTTATATTTCCACCAAGCGTGATTTACATTTCAACTTGTGTCATGTTAAAATTTCCATTAACACTTCGGCTTATCTCAAGTTATATTTTGATTTACGTTTTGACTTGCTTCAAGTTACACTTCAACTAACGCGGTTACATTTCGACTTGCCTCACCAAATTACATTTTGCATACACGTAATATACATTTTGACTTAAGCAGTGTTTGCGGTTGCTTAAAAAAGGTGCTTTTGGCTTTAAAAAAGCTAAAAAGAGTGTTTTCAAATGACAGTTTCTGCTTAAATTAATCACTTAAAAGCTAAAAGCTAGAAGCAGGTGGAAGGGTGCTTTAAACTGCTTTTCACTTTTTCTATTACACAAAAAGTACTTATTTTACCAAACACTACCAACTTTTACTTTTTCAGAATCACTTTTTTCTCAAACACTACCAACTTTTACTATTAATCACTTTTCTCAAAATCACTTTTTAAAGTTGAAACAATTACAAACACTCCCTTATTCAAAGTTACCTTTTGTATACACACAATTTCTCTCTCTCTAAATTATAATTCCTGTTGCTATGAGAGATTACATTTATAGCAACTGGAATTATAATTTAGTGCACAAGATTTACATCATGAAGAAAATTGAGACCAAGTCATATTTACTACTCATGCACGTTTTTAATTAAAACTTAAATGACTTTATTTTAGCTCGAGAGGTCACCATTCATTGCTTCGACAGCATGTAAGAGATTACATTTTTGTAAATGATACTACCTCCGTTCTTTTTTATTAGTCCTCTTAGGGTTTGACACGGGTTTTAATAATAAAGTAGTAGGGTAAGTATAGAGTGTGTATGATAAATGATAAAGTAGGAAAGATGGTATATTAAAAAGAGTAAAGTGATGATAAAGTAGGAAAGAAAGTGTATTAAAAGTGTAAAGTGATGGTAAAACAGGAAAGAGAAAGTAGTTTATAAAAAGTAAGTGAGATAAAAGTAATAAAAGTGAAGATGTTTTCTCAAAAACTTTCCTTAAAAGGAAAGGAGAACAAATAAAAAAAAACCTCCCAGAAAGGAGGGAGTGTGTAATTTGTAAGGAATGATAATATAATAATTAGAAATTACTCCAAATAGGAGTAAAACTATGATAAAAATCTAAAATAGGACTCCTTATGTTTTTATTCCCAAATAGGACCAAATTACTCCTATTATAAACATAAGGAATTTATCATTCCATTATTGCCCCTGCTTTGTTATCCGATGGATCCACACCCCCAAAACACATCTGGATAATTTCTTCTCTCCATCGCACCGCATAACACATCGATCAATTTCTTCTCCCCCTTCGGCCTTCGCACTATCATCTCCTCTCTTCCTCTCAATCCTCACCAGATCGATCGATTCAAACTGGCCTGCATATTACATCGATTGCATCGCCGACCTCATCCCTTGCCGACGACTCCACCCTACACACGCCGCCGTCTGGTCAGTTTTCCTCCTCCTCCTCCTCCTCCTCCTCCTCCTCCTCCTCTTCTTCTTATTATTCTATTTTTTTGGCTTTGAAATTGATTTTTCTGATTTTTCTTCCATTCATCTTTTTTTGGTTCTGAAATTCGATTGTTGATTTTTGGTCTTCTGTTTTGCATTTCCGTTTTCAAATTTCAGTATTTTTAATAAATTTCAAGTTTCCAGATTTTTGAATGATGGAATAAAGTTTTGCCAAGTTTATGGCAAAAATGAACACACTGACTATCGTTTTTGGCAGAACAGATTTTTTGTAAATCTGCTTATCTAATGTTTTGTCAACAGCTTCGTAATTTTGTTTTTTTATTGTGTTAGTGTGTGTGTTGCATTCAAAAAAAAATTATTTTTCAATATTTGGTTGGTATTTCATATTTTTACCAAAAGTATGGCAGTTTGTGGTGTTCTTCCAAGATAAATCTGGCACTTTTTGGCATATCAGTCAAATCTGCCAACTTAATATTAATGGCAGATTTGCAATCAACCTTCAAGCTAAATCTGCCAACTTAATGGCAAATCTACGACACTGGAGTTGTGATGGCGGCGGTGCTCGGAAGTGAGTGGTGGCCCCAGATTTAACATTGGCGGCAATCAGGGAGTTGTGACGGCAGCGACGGATGGCAACACCAGTTGGGCGGTGATGATGTACCAATAGGGTTGCAGCAGTCGGTGGCGTCGGCAGATAGCGCCGGCGAGGGGTGGCGGTAGATGACAGCGCCGGCGAGGGGTGGCGGTAGATGACACCGGCGGAGGGTGGTGGTGGCGTACGGTAACGCCAGTGTGGGAGGCTGCATCTCCAATTTGGCTAAATATTTTTGTGGCGCAGGTGGAGCGTACTTTCTGCTTTAATGAAATGCAATTCATTACGGAGTATTTAAAATAAGGGTATTATAGTCCACTCATGCTTAAATGACTCCTACTAAACATAACACACGAAATCAGTCCAGTTTTAGCATTTGATGAGTCTTTTTGTCCTATATGAGTAATTAACTCTATAATAATCAAAGCTATCAAACGGCTTCATTATTACAAAAGAATAATTGAGAAAAATAAGATGAGAAGATACATGCAATTTCAATATACATTTTGTAGTAGGTATATGAGATGGATATTAGAAAAGTCCAAAGGTCAAACATACATGGGTTTCCGCCATTATCGAGTTAATTTCTTGATCAAGAAATTTAAACGGATTGGAGCTAAGATCTTACTAAACACCTTCTTAATCACCCTTCCAACCTCCACCTTTTTATTATTGTCAGCATCACCATTCCGTTCTCCCTGCCGCCGCCCCTTCGACTGATCTGCCGATCTCCTAAAATTTTCCATGCCCGGAGAGCTGCCGGAGAGAGGCCGCCGCATGTTCCGTTCGATCAGATGGGTGGCGGAGATAATCTCGTAAGAATCATAAAACAAACTGCCACAATAATCCCAGACAACATTATGATTAGCTGCAACACCCTCACATCCTTCCTCTGCTCTCTTCATGTTTGTACCAGAAGTGAAGAAGATGGACTTATTTTTATGCCACAAAGTTATCGACATTTATCATGATTTTTTATAAACAAAACGTAGATTGCACGTGTTTGATTATTGAATGTCGATATAATTGGTTACAGATGAACTACTTTCTTCCATAATAAATACAATAGTCCCAATAAATATTATTCCATTTTGACTAGATACGTTTATTTGTAAATTAGGTTCCAATTTGTCTTGAGATTCGTTGTTGTGAGTAATTCATGTGTTTAAGTTGACTTAGCATGTTATTTAATTAGAATGCTTTAAATTCCAAATCAGACCAGACTTAAATACACGAGAATGGATTTAATCATAATAGATCAAACTTTAACAATGGTAAAATACACATAGATCATACATCTATCAGACCGATCCAGACTAAAGACGTTTTTAGTTGAAATTTTCTTGTGTGATCTCTATGTATTTTATAACCTTTGAGATTTGATTTGGTCTATTTAAGCTCGGTCTGTTCTATTTTGACATGGTTTGGTTTATTCTAGTCTGAGACAAACCAGTTCAAGTAAAAACATCCTAAATCAAACCAAATAAAAAAACAATCTTATTAAAAACCTTCTTAATTAAAAAGAAAGTAGATGAGCATGTTTATAGGTGACTAGGTTTCAAGCCCGTGCGATGCACGGGCAGTACATAATTTAGCTAATTTTAAATTTGATTTTTTGGAATCATATATAATGTGATGCAAATGCAAAATAAACTCAGTCTAGATACATAGTTCGTTTGATAATAATAAAATTGGTGAAATTCATATTCATCATTCAACTTGGTATGAAATATAGAGTACATACTTTTAACTTTTAATAGTAAGATCTTACATTTTACTCATTATTTTGGTCACATTAAAAATGTAATAAATGGAGTAATTTTTTATTTTTTTTTTACATTTTACTCATTATTTTGTTACATTGAAAACAATTTTTAATTGTTATGAACATCTAGATTACATTATTGAGCATTTCAAAATACTATTTTTCTAATATTTCTTATTCAACTTGGTATGAAATACACCTTTTTAAGTTTTAATAGTTAGATCTTACATTTAGTCATTATTTCGTCATATTGAAAATATTAAAAAATGGTGTTTTTACATTTTACTCATTATTTCGTCACATTGAAAATGTCATTAATAAGGATGTTTTTAATTGAATTAAGATATCCGGGTTTGATTTGGTCTGAAGTAATCTGATCTGGTACATGTTTGTTTTACATTTTATGTGTCATATTATTATTAAAGTTTGATCTGGTTTGTTCTAGTATGGAAATAAAATGAATCTAATTAAAAACATCCTAAGAGTATAAATAAACTTAGAAATTTGTAAACATACAAAGATTTCCTAATTTGGATTAGGAATCTAATTCAAAAGTGATAGCATATTTAAATTGTAATTGTAAAAAAAAGAAATGAAACAACCAAACATTTACTTTTTGGCTAAGCTAAACCTATTTATTTGTGAACACACGCACACATGTATATTGTATGATATCAATTTTCATCCTTATTTAATAAAGGTAAGCTACTTGGTTAGATAATTGAATGTCTAATAGTATTAATTTCGTTTTTAATTTCAACATTCTGGTGATTAGAAAGAATTGTATGAAGATGCAGAAAAATATGAAGTGTCAACACAATTGCAAATCTGGAGCTTAGAATTTTATTCATGATCTCGACATTGAGTTTAGAAGAATAAAATATTACATCTTAGGAAATGGAACACTATTATTACATTTTTTGTATAAATAATTTTGAACACAAAATAAATAGCAATTTGGCTAATTTATCTGTTTTTTAAGGAACTGATTTATCAATTAAGGGGGCAAAACAAAGATACTACATTTCTTCAATAGAATGTAATAAAAAATAAAAAGTATTAAAATAATCACACAAATATTACTGTTCTTATAAGGATGTTTTCTTTTAGACTGTTTTCAGTCTTAGACAGACCAGACTTAAACAGACCAGACCAGACTTCCGTAGTTATAAAATACACAGAGACCAGACGTCTACTAGACCAGATCAGTTCAGACCAAACCAGACCAAACCAGCAAATTTCAGTCCAAAAGAAAACATCCTAAAAAGTACAATCACACAAAAATTACTACGTGCTTATAAATAGTACACCGTATAAAGTAATGAATTAAATACAATCTAGATTACATTGAAAATCGTTTTCAATCGTTAGCAAGTATCAAACACATGATACGTTTTGACAAAATTTCCAAATAAGGTGGATTTTTATCCTATAGTCTTTTGTTTCCGTATCAATACGCAATCAAAAATAGAATTTAATAAAATAAATAAAAGGTACGGAGTATTAGAAAAACTAAATACTATGTAATTGTTACATATGATGGATGACATGACAAGATTATGAGATATTACCAAAAATGGGACTAAAAAAGTTAAAAAATTCCAAAATGGGACTTCCATGTTTTTATTCCCAAAACAGGACTAATTAATGTCATGTTTTGGCAGTACCAGACTTCAAACATGGCAGTATTTTCCAAATTTGGCAGTAATTAGTCCTATCTTGGGAATAAAAACATGACAGTCATATTTTGGAATTTTGGAATTTTTTAGCCCCATTTCGGGAACTTTTCCCAAGATTATGTGACGCTTTGTATGCTCTTAAAAGTTCCTCTTTTTATATATATATTGAATATTGATTTCCAATGAAGTTTTCTCGTCTTTAGTTGGTAGAGCTGCACTTTACGTACCAGCTCAATTTGAAATCCATGTCCTTAAAGAAATTTGACAATAAAGGAAATAATTATTAATTATATAAATAACACTCCGTTTATTGGAGTTCCTTAAAATATTTAGCACACTGCTCATTTTTGGTCTGATCAATTCAAGTTCTACTTCAAAGATCAAATATGACTAATATGTGACTAAAATTTAAAATATGAACTTTACCATTAGCGATTATAATAATATTGTAGAAAAAAAACTCATTTTAGAGATTTTTTTTGGTTCCACCATGTATCATTATGAAATACTTCCCACTTCCCAGTATCCCCTTTTCTTTTTGAAACACGTATTGCTTTCTTTGGATCCTTCAACTCTCAAGTGAGAAATATTTTGGTACTGATACAGTATTACTCCTTATCATTATAAATCACAGAAACTTTTGTTTTCTGCTGCAGGTGGCCTTTGTGTGTTTATCAGCCCATCTACCCTCGAGTCCTCAACCAATCAAACCTAGCCAACCTTCTCTATCAGCTGTCTCTCTTTTCCCAACTCTGGGGAGGGTGAAATGCGTGCAGAATTGTGTATAAAAAATGAAGTTAGTTATAGTAAACAGTTGATATTACAATAATCAAGTTTTGATATCATCAGGCTAATCACAGCCAAACAGATTCACCAGTTTTGAAATAAAAGAATAAATACAAGCAAACCAAGTCAATTACAACAGTATACATACCCAAAAGAATGATGCACAAAAAAAGATGAATGTATATAAAGGTTCTTTCAGCCAAATAAAGACCGAGAGAAAGGGGAAAAATTATCAAATGAAAAAAACGAACAAACTAACACACTGAGGACAGGGTAAGTATCTACCTTGCATACTTACATGAATCACCTGGATAATCGTCGAGTGTTCATCTTTGAGAATGTCTCCTTGAGATGATCATATCGACCACGGTGGTAGTCGATCCAGATACACAATTGCCTTATCACCTCTCTCTTCTCCTCACAAATCTCTGTGATCCCTTTATCTTTTTCACCCATTGTCCTTTCCAACACTCCCATTTTTTTATCCTTCTCGTCAACTGTTTTTTGTAGTGCTTTGAAGTTCTCTTCAAGTATGTGTAATGTCCTAACCTTCTCTTTCAACACTAATTCACTTTCTTCTTTGTCTCTAAGTTGCTGAAGAAGACTTCCGTTTTCCTTCTTTAGATTCTCCTTCTCGTGGCTCGTTTCCTTGATCAAGTTCTTAGTTACCTTAAGCTCATTCAAAATTTCATAGATGCGAGATTCTATGTGTCCCCAGTCTTCCTCAAACTTCATGCTAAACATGTCCATTCCAGAGAGTGTTTCACTCACTGTGTCTGATACATCTGCCGTTATCCTCTGCTGAGTTTCTTTGTATGCTGTTACGGTTCTTGACAGGGATGATATCTGTTCCCCAAGATTTGTTTGGTTTTGCAATAACTTCTCTGCTTTTACGCTGTGGTCATCTTCCTTTTCACTGAGTAACTGTTCAGTCACCCGAAGCTTCTGGTTGGTTAAACGAAGCTTGACTTCGATTGTGCGCATATTTTCCACCACACTACCAAGTTCATCTCCTTTCATTTCCAGATCTCTCTTCAGATCTTCAATTTCCTCCTCCATTTCCTGGATTTTCTGGTCTTTGGAATTGAGATTCTTCTGAAACTCTTCTGTCACTTCTCCTATTTTCATCTCTGCAACCTCAAGACTCATCTTGCTCTCCTGAAGAACAATTTCGAGTTGTCTGTGCTCTTCGACCAATTTTTGCAACGCATCTTCTTGCTTTTTGATCTTTATTTCCAGATCAGCAATTTTCTGTGCTGATTCTGTCTTCTGATTTTCCAATTGTATCTCCAACTTAGCTCTCTCGGCCTCAATGATGTCCACCTCCTTTTTTAATTTGTCTATTTCTTCTGTCAGATAAGAAATGTGGGTTTCATCTCCAATTTGTACATCCTCCAACTTCTTTTGCAGGGAAAGGATTTCAACCTCTTTCTCGTTTAGTGTTTTTTCCATCTCAGCTGCTCTACTTTGAAAACTAGCTTCCTCCCCCCTCATTTGCTCTTCCAATTTGTGAAATTGTTCACCGTGAAACTTCTTTTCCTCTTCCAGGTCATTTACACGAACTACCAAACCATCCTTCTCATCTAGCAATCTCTGTACATCTAGACTTTTACTCTCTAACTCCCCTTTTAGTTTTTCAATTTCAATCCGGTACAAGGCCTCCGATTCACATTTTTGAGTAATGAAAGTGTCCAATTGTTCTTGCAGATCGGTCACCTGAACCGTCAACGATGTGATC